AATGGCATCACTTTTGAGAAATTCAATACTAAAGTGGTTTCAAATGTGTTCAACAGTTTGTGTCGTTCGCCAAACAATGTCTTCTCGGCGTTGAAAACAGATCCCGAAGACGCTTACGATTCGCTCTATAAAGACATCGTCACAGAAATGGTAACCACTTCTGCTGACAAACACATCCCAAGAATTGAACACAAAGTGAATCCGATTTCCTATGAGTTATCCAAAGATGGAATCACTTCTTCGGGCCTTAAGTTCAATGAATGTAAGACTCAGTGAATGAATGGTTTGTAGACTTGTTTTCATTCCCTAATTGTGTTTCAGTTGAAGACAAGTCTTTGGAAGAGAAGGAGAAGAAGACAATAAATCCGAAATCAGTGGCCAATGTCTTCATCCAAGAGATCATCAAATTCAGCAAAACTGGAGCCAAAGGAACAGTAGATCAACCGAAAGGTCTCATGGAATCAGATCCTCAAAGATTGGTTCAAATGCTAAAGAGTTTGTGCGAAGACGTGAAGAAACTACTGATGAGTGAAAGCCATTGTCTGTCGATTGCATCACCGGTTGTAGTGGTCGGCGATATTCACGGAAACATTGAAGACTTGCTGACCATTGAGAACACATTGTCGATCTCAAAGCTGATCCCGACCTCAAAGTATCTCTATTTAGGCGATTATGTGGATCGCGGGAAGTGGTCAGTCGAGTGCGCCGTTTATCTCTTATCCCTGAAAGTACTGTCGCCTCAAAACATCCATCTCTTGCGCGGCAATCATGAGGTCCGAGAGCTTCAAGAGTTTTTCACATTCAAAGAGGAATGCACTGCAAAATATGGTCCACAGAATCGCGTCTATCATCTGCTGAACGATGTGTTTGACTGCCTCTCAGTGTCTGCCGTTGTGGACGACACCATCTTCTGCTGTCACGGAGGCATACCGTCCAGCGTTCACACCATTCGTGAGATACAAGCGATTCCAAAGCCATTGAGAGATCCGTCGGCTGTTGAGTGTCTGCCCGCACACGAGCTCTTGTGGAACGACCCGAGCACTCAAGAGTCATATGAGGCCACCATTGAATTGGTCGGACA